TAAAACCACAGAAGCCGGGGGTTTATTGTGGTGGTTATTGTATGTAGGATCAAAGTATAAAAAGAAACTAAGCAGCTCTTTAGTTTTAGCTAAACAATAAATGCAAAACAAGTACTGGCTTTAATGCTCTTGTTTCCAGTTTTGGACTAAGGACAAGTGTGTTCATGGGAAGAAACAAGAGGACAGCGAAATGAAAGCTTTTGATAATTGCTGATTTTTTTTTTTTTTTTTTTTTTCAATGTTTGATTTTTGGACACTAATTCAGTCTTTTGTAAGGCTGTTGCACTGAACAACTACAGACGTCAAAGTTCAGCATTTTCTATGCCATCGATTTTAACATTTAATACATGTAAAAATCACATGCAAACCTAAAATAATTCCTGGCTTTCTGCATGGCTTTTCTATTTTTCTTTAAATGGTCTGAGAAAGACTGCAGACTCACACATTACCTGTCGTCCTCCATAGACTGTGTTTCTGGAAGGAGGTCATCTTTCTCCTTCTGATTCCCATCAGCACTAAACAGAAAGAAAAACACTGACATAAGAAATAGAGTGCTGCAGCCAAAGGACGATATATATTAAAAAAAAAATCCCTCTGAAATTGTTGATTTCTTTTTTGTTGTTGTTGTTCTTTTCCAGTCCACCTATAGAATAATCTCAAATGCAGTGCCATATTCTGAAATCGTATGGTTGCTTTCAAAAATATATATTTGTCATTAATACAGTACTAACACTTATATAAACACTCTTTGGATGGTGGGTGGACTTTGCTGACCTCTGGTCCAAGACATAAGGACAGGGAAGAGTAAAGTCAGTGGATGCCTTGCTGCTCTCCTGGCACAGCGTGTTTACACCTGAATAACGTCTCTGTTTCTTCAGTCCTTTACACGAACACACGGACACGAGTGGGACTGTGATAAATGAACACATTTAATTATTGCTAATTAGGCCAATTCTTTCCTGGGCGTGCATTTCTAAACTATCATTTGAAAAGGAAGTTTTAATTTGTCTTTCACGAAATTACCCAACTTGAAAATGTGAAGTTTTCTGTATAGCGATTATAATGACATTATTATAATGACAATCCGTGTAATTTCTTGTGAAATTACAGGGATTACAGTGAACATTTTAACTTGGGTCTTAAATGAACATGCAAATTCAATTCGTTTTGTTTTCTTTACAAATACTACATAATTAAAAAAATGTATTATTATTATTATTATCTTAGGTTTTTGTTCATTCTTGACTTACATCTCAGTTAGACGACAGACTGCATTCTAAGTGTCACTGTGTGAAATATCCTTGATGTTATTATTGACTGAAAAAAAATGACAATCTAAAGGTCACCGGTGACATTTTTAACATTTGCTGCATGGCATCATTTTCAAAGCATGGCATTTTAATGGGGCTTCTCCTTAAGCACCAGCCTATTGACTGTCAAGCTGTCAATGCAGAACAGACGCTCCTGTGAGATCGGGATGCTCATGATAACGGGGGACCTCATGGAACGTCCAGGTGGCTGGTGAGCAGATGGTGTACATTAACATTGCACGGTGGCTCTATATGGAAATTCTTTGATAACTCTTATGGGATATAGGTCACAGATAGGCTTTAATTTCCATCCACACTTCCTACTGTACAAGTATCTGACCAACCAGCCAACTATGTCGTCTAGACTGCTAGAGGTGCATTGTAGGTCAAACAAATCAAAAAGACTCCTGAGGATAACATTTTCATCACATAAAAAAAATCTTTTTTTTTCTTTTTTTTTTTTTGTGGGGTTTTGGTAATCATTACGGTAGTATGAATCTGAAATTGAGCCGATGCGAACGTGAGAAACCAATTGCCATCATTTGGAGTTGCAACCTTGGATTAAAATAACAGTTTTGATGCGTTTTGATGCAATGGTTTTTGGCCATTTTTAATTATTGGTAAACATATAAATGATTAAATAGACCCTGTTAAACAGCATGTACTGAGAATAGAATAGAATATCGTTTATTGTCTCACTGTGGGGAAAATTGGGGCATGTCTTCTAGACTGAGAGGATGCACCTATATTATTACATAACTCACATAAACAGTAAGACAAAATCCCGAGGAAGGCATATAAAATACAAAATAATTTACTTTGACGTTATCCTCAGGTCGCACACTCTACTGAGATGTACAGGAATTAATTTCCATAATTAAGGTTAGTGAGAACCATTGAGGGGGCCCCCACTACTTTCCTCAGGAGCAAATGAAATGATAACACCCCATAAGAACAGAATGATGCAGCTGCCAGAGCATCGTTTAGGAAGATTTATTAAGCCCTGAAGAGAAATATAAAACCTAATGTATGCTGTGAAAGAAAAAAAAATCAAGTCAGCCTACAATGAGTCACTTATGAGCTATAGTAGGCACACGCATGCTAACACGCATGAATAAAAATCCAGAAAGTATTCACACCCCTTGAACTTTCTTTCATCATTCAACTTTCTATACTTTAGCACATTCAACAACAAAAAATCCAGCACAAACAATTCCATCTGGTTACCTCTAGAAGCTTCTATATTAAGCATAATTTTTATGTGTGCTTTTATGTGTGAGAGGCCAGAAAAACAAAAGCCACTGCTGAAAGAAAGCTGCACAGAATCCTGTATAGATTGGATAGATTAGATAATTCCCCCCTAAGGAAACATAGTAAATGTGTAGGAGAAGGTGCTTTAGTCAGAAACACTGACGTTGAGCTTCTAGCCCTGCACGTCACACTCGACACACCATCTCCACACTGAAACATGTTGGTGGGTGCATTGTGCTGTGGGACTGCTTTTGTTTTGCAAGAACCGGTGAACTGCACGGTCAGAGCCGATGGGATGACGGAGGGAGCAAAAAATAGCGAGCAGCGACAAAACTCCGGAAAATACGGAGTTTTGTCGCCGTGGCAAGACGAAATGTGGAGGGGTAGGTGGGTAGGGGGGGGACCCTCAAGGGTGTGAATACTTTTGCGAGGCGCTCTCTCCTCTCTCTCCGCAGTTCTCGATTCTGCCTTACACGTTACTCAGCTCGTGGTCAGAGAAGACGCTGTCCGTATCCACTGGCCGCTGTGATGAACTTTCACCTTTGCCCCTCTTCAGGTGGGTGGTCCTGCTCCAGATGATTTCACAGACCAGATCAAAGTCATCTCTGGGCGCGTTTGGGTGAATCCATGTGCGGCGCGGGAACGGAGCGAGGGCGCTGAAGCGTGCGCTGGTACTAAGTGGTTTCCAAGGATCTTCTACCATCTTTTTTTCTTCTTTTTTTTTTTTTAAATATTTATAGATATATATGTGGTGGAATCTTACCCTTTTAAAAGCGTATGTTTTGTTGCTATTCTGAGCACGAAGGGAAACAGTCCACCTGGCGCGTTCTTGCTGCCATGGAAACGATATACAATTCCGGAAGAATAACTCGGCGACAGATAAGAATTCTCACAAGTTAAATGACTTAACAAGTGTTGGATTTAAGCAGGAGGGTCCTGAATGCATCTCCACGTATTTCAACAACACGCTGCAAGAATCTTGACTGTAAAACCTTAATGACTCCCTGCAACATGCCCAAGCCAGGGAAAGTCGTTGGAAACCTAAGAATTTTTGATCGACATCCGATACAAGAAAAATTAGCAGCAAGGTTTTTCTCTCTCCCTCCCCCTCCCCCACGCACATCGAGAATTAATTATAACCATTCTGTGCAAAAATAGAAGTGAAATTCAAATTTACGGTGTAAGAGGGGGGGAGGGGGGGAGAGCAATAGTTCCGGCTAGTTAGGCATCAATTTCACGTGTAATAAGCAGTATGTGAACATACCACTGCTGGGCAATCCAATGATTGGTCTTAATGGATGGACACGATGGCTCCCAAGTCACGCCTTAGCAAAGCAGAACAAGAAGACCTGAGTCTTTTACATTATTATTATTACTATTATTATTATTATTATTATTATTATTATTATTATTATTATTATTATTATTATTATTATTATTATTATTATTATTTAAGATTCAGTGAGTAGAGTGGAGCATCTTCATTCATTGACTTTACTGCAAACATTTTCTGAACTGATCTCAAAGGACAGAGGAGTTAGAAAGTGACAGAGAGAGAGAGAAGGAGGGAGGGAGAGAGAGAGAGAGAAAGAGAGAAGGGAAGAGGCGGGTGGGCAGACACCGAGGAGAGATAGAGGCGCGCAGAGTGGAGAGCAGGTCTGCAGTCTGAATCTTGGCGTCGCGCAGACCCCGAGACGACGCTTCGTGGCCGCTCGCTGCGATAGATGCTGGGATTACCACAGACAGACCTACCGCATCCTCCGATCACTGACTGAACACGCTCCAAAGGCTGCGGGCTCGAAAACTTCTCCAAGCCGTCGAGGAAAGAGGTTTTCTTTTTTTTTCTTTTTTTTTTTTTTTTTTTTTGTTTTTTTTCTTCTTCTTCTTCTTTTCTTGGATCATTGGATAACGTCTCCCTGGACGGGGCGCTTTTTATGAATCTCTGTCTAATGACGAGCTCAAACGTGGATTTACTGGAAGTAAAATCAACCCAATGTATAGATTAAAAAAAAGGAGGAACGAGAGAAATTGAGAGAGAAAGAGAAGCGAGCTCTATTGGATTTGGGTACCATCAGTTACATTTCTGGAGCGGAGGAGAGATTTTCGTGATCTTATTTATTAATTTCATTTTGGAGGTGGTGGGTAAATCACTGGCCAATTCTCTCTCCCTCTCTCTCTCTTTCTCTCTCCCTCTCTCTCCCTCCCTCTCCCCCCCCCCCCCCCCCCCCCCAATCCACCGACCCCCACCACCACCCTACGGTTTGCCTTTTAGGTGTGAAATCTATCTTATCAGAGAGAGACTCCGAACCCCCTTTCGGTCCCCCGCATGACATGGTTCAGTCCAGCTGTGAGATCCGAGCCTCCTCCATGCATTGGGATTTTTCTCAGCTCCGACACCGAGTGAATCTCCCTTTTCTGAGCATCTGAGAACTCATCGTGCCTGCCAGAAAAAAGAAAAAAAGAGAGAGAGAGTGTGTGAGAGAGCCCCTGCCATGACCGCCACTTCAAATCGGGATCGGGACGGAGCACCGGGACTTGGAAGGAGAGCGGAATCCGTGTGCAGAAAGGGAGATGATGGCATTGGGATTTTAGTAGCTCTGATGAAAGCTCAGGCGCGCTGTTGTCGGAGCCGGCTGCTGCTCTTCTACATGGGGCTGCTGATGCTGGTCGCCACAGTTGAGGGTGAGTTTTCTCTCCCCCCCCCCCCCAATCTTTTCAGCTGAAGACGTGTAAAAAATAAAATAAATAAATAAATGCAGCAGGCTTTACCCCCGCACACTCCACCGCTCACTCTACCTCATCGGTCCATGACTGAATGCAAATCACGCAACCAGTACGCCACAGAAACGTCTTAAAAAGAAAAAAAGAAAAAAAAAACCTGCGTTTTACAGGGATCGGTCTCGGTGTGGTCTCGCTGTTTGTTCCACCACGTAAAGTTCTGAAAAAGCTAGCTAGCTGCTGGAGGTTGGCTATTTTGGTGGCAGCAGATCCTCAGGAGTCGACATCCTTGACTCATCGGATTCTGGTTCCATTAAGAAACTGGATGCTTGTTTTGGGGAAGGTTCTTCTTTCTTTTTTTTAATTCTCTTTTCCGGGGAAAAAAAAAAAAAAAAAAAAAAGAAAAAAAGAGAGAGACACAGCGGTGGGGCAGCATGCATTTTTTCCCTCATGAGGAAATCCGTTGAGCTGGGCAAGAAGAAGGCTGATTATTATGCTGTTCAGAGTCCGAGAGCTTGTGTGCGTGTGTGTGTGTGTGAGGGAGAGAGTGCGTAGATAAATCTTACTCTTTTTGTGCTGTCTTCTCTCTAAAGTAGCATTGGTGTTGCAAAGAGTTTTTTTCAGCCTCTGTCTGTCCAGGTCGGGTCGTCCTGCGCTCTTGTGCGTGCGCAATTATCACAAACCTTGAAGCAGCACGAGTTCGAGCATTCAACAGATTGCCATTCTTCCCGTTCATGTATACTTCTACTTGCTGAGTGGGCTCCCTTCAAGGTGATACTCATCTGCATCAAGAAGAAGAAAAAAAAGAACAACTCACGATGTTATTTAAAATCTCCTTAGGGGGAAGAACCGCAATGGTTCTCCCGAGTGGGGATCTGTTTTGGCAGAGAGAAAGACAGCCGCTCTATCTCTGTCTTGGCTCTGCACCAATGAACGAGCACCTATTTTTAGCAAAAAGAAAAACGAACAAACAAGAAATGTTAAGAACAGTGCCACAATATGAGTTTGACTCTCCTAACCTTTAGCTTGGGCAGCTTGAATTGGCCAGATGAGTTGGAGGGAGGAGGTGGGGGACTGGAAACTGGAACTGAAAGGTTCCAGTTTCCAGTCTGCGCACATTATCTCCCACGTTTTGGTCCAACACCTCACCTGTACTGTTGAAGCTAAGCTCACTCCCGGTGAGAGCAACACATTTTCCCTCGACTTGAGTAAATCCCATTCCACGTAATATCGTTTTATTTGTACCTACGGAGCTTTTATTGGCTCCACTCTCTACAGGGGTTTCAGCCAATAAATCGACTCCAACTTATTACACACCTTTTTTTTCTTTTTCTTTTTTTTTCTTTTCTTTTTTTTTTTAGTCTGGAGAGCGAAAGAGACTTGTAACGTGTGCTTTGAGTAGCGGCAGTAAACCGGCTTTTATGTTTCACCGTTTCGCCGGTGCTGATGAGGTCTGGCGGTGCTGCTGCAGCCACCAGCAGTTGCCCCTTCCCCCCATTGAGCGGCACCAGAGCCTCGCTGAGAGGGAACAGGATGGGACCTTTCCTGGTCACTTTTATTAAAGCCAAAGCAAGATTTTTTTTTTTTTTTTTTTTTTCCCTCAACCTAAAAAAAAGCACCAAAA